ATAACAATGCAAAAAAAAATTTGTCTACGTCAAAGTGCTGCTCCCTCTTATCATGCAATGACCACCAAAACAATTTCTTGTATCTTTAATAGTTTAGGAAATAATGGAGTGTTTCCAGTTACGCGGGACACACTGTATATGCGGGAATCGGTAAGTGGCTAACTTTGGAATTTCATAAGTCCATGACCTACCGATGGTCAGCAATGTGTTTTACAATGTTGACAGGTTACCATTCGTTGATAAGTTTAGCAATTGAGGATGGCAACTTATCATCGGTAGGTAACTTATGATGTGCTCGTGGAAGGTACCATCTGTCGGTAACTTATGTCGGGCACGTGGAAAGTACCATCGGCCGGTAACTTGCCCGTCACCGGTCGGTAACTTATGCTGTGTTCATGGAAAGTACCATCGGTCGGCTACTTGCCAGCGGTCGGTAACTTACCATCGGTCGGCAACATGCCATCAGTCGACAATCGGATATGGCAGCTGCCTTTGGCCGGTATGTTGCCATCGGTCCGTAAGGTAGGTCACGAAAAAAAATATGTCTCTCTCGGGGGGGGGGGGGGGGGGGCGGTTTACTCGAGGATGTAACACGTGATTCTGCGCTATTTTGCGCTATTCCGAGATAGAAATGCAATTTTCATCCCAGTTCTGCACAATTCTAGGCTGTTTTGCGCTATTCCAATCTACAAATGCACTTTTCAGCACAGTTCCGAACGATTCTGCTCTGTTTCGCGCTATTCCGAGCTAGAAATTCACTTTTCACCCCAGTTCTGCGTGATTCTGCTCTGTTTCGCGCTATTCCGAGCTAGAAATGCACTTTTCAGCCCAATTCTGTACAATTCTGGGCTGTTTGGCGCTATGCCGAGATAGAAATGCACTTTTCAGCCCAGTTCTGCACGATTCTGCTCTGTTTCACGCTCTTCCGTGCTAGAAATGCAGTTTCCATCCACGTTCTGCACGATTCTGGGTTGTTTTGCACTATTTCGTTATAGAAATTGCATTTTGAACCTTAGTTCTGCACGATTCTGGGCCAAAATTGGACTGAAATAGTACAAATACAGCAGCGGCCGATGCAGAATTGCCCTGGAAAGTGCATTTATAGCTTGAAATCGGGCAAAACGGCCTGTAATTGTTGTACCGCCTGTTGTGTCGGGCAAATCTCGGCTGAATAGTGCAAAACTAGCTCGAAATAGTACAAAACAGCACCGACCGATGCAGAATTAGGCTGGACATTGGATTTATAGCTGGAAATGGGGCTTGGCGACCTGTGATTGTTCAACCGTCGGTTGTATCGGGTTAATCCCAGCTGAAATATGCCAAATTTGCCCGAAATAGTACAAAACAGCACCGAACGATGGGCTGGAAAGTGCATTCATAGCTCGAAATGGGGTAAGGCGGCTTGTAATTGTTGAACCGTCGGTTGTATTGGGCAAATCAATGCTGAAATGTGCAAAATTAGCTCGATATGGTACAAAACAGTAACGGCCGATGCAGAATTGGGCTGGAAAGTGCATTTATAGCTCGGAATGGTGAAAACAGCCCAGAATTGTACAGAATTGGGCTGAAAAGTGCGTTTCTAGCTCGAAACAGCGGAAATAACTCAGAATAGTGCCCCAAGAATAAAAATCAAAGTTCCAGAATTGCAGTTAGAAACAGCTGAATTTTTAATTGATGGTGGTGCGGCAGTTAATTTAATGATTCATGACGTTCTTGGAGATCAAGCCAAGAGCATCACCAAAGAAGTTATCGAAATCACGGGACTCACAAAATCACCTATTCTTAGCATAGGAATCACAGTTCTTCACATTCACGGTAAGTCTGCATTATTTTATGTAGTAGAAAAACTCGCATTAGAAGCCGATGGACTTATAGGCAGCCCATTTTTATTACAAGAAGAAGCAGAAATTTCATATTACCACGGAACTTTAGTATTGAAAAATAAACCTATTCGACCACTCCGTTTTTCAAATTGTCAAGATTTAGGTCAATTAAAAAATCCGAAAGCAACTAAACACCGTATCGAAGCTCGAACAACAAAACAAATCACAATTCATATAGCGCATCCAAACATTAAAGAGGGATACTTACCACGACTTAAAACGCCAGAAGATCTACACATTGGCGAAGCGGCAGTATATAACCGTGACGGCTTCTGTTACGCGTTAGCTACTAACACCGGAGAAGATGACATAGAAAGCAAAATTGATCCTCAATACATTCATCCCTACGATATTTATGACCCGTCAGACGACGACCCTATTTCTTCTTACCTGACCGAAGAGCCGTCAGAAGATAGAACAACCCGAATTCAAAATCTCTTAAGGGGGTAGACACGGGTAATAGTAGCATGTTGACATTGCCGACAAGAATGAACCTAAACATGGGTTTACGCGTTTTCGTTATTCGTCCTTGTATGAGAACATTTGGGGCTGGGTGAGGGCTTATTCGAAAGAGGAAGGTCCAATGCACACCGCTCAACTCATGTTTCATTGGGATTATGTTGATGTTTAGTAATATAAGCGTCCAAAGTAGAGGTAAAAAATCGACAAAATGCATTCGCGGAATCGAAGCATTTTTAGGCCACTAAAAGAGTGCTGTGATTGAAATTATGAGTTGAGCGGTCTAGCCACAACCTTTACCTGTAAATTAAGATCTATTTTGTCTTCATTTGTTGCGAAATAAGGACGAATAACGGATCCGCCATTTTGTGGATAATACAGAGCAAGTCATGTGACAAATTCAGTTTAGCTAGTAGTTATAAGGTGGTGTCTAACTAAGAAGGCTGCCGATTTGGAATCGTAGCTAAAATCAGGCGTTAGCTTGGTTATGTCACTCGACTGAAGGCAAGCGAAGGCGAGCGAAAAAGGTTACTGCGCCTAAACGCTGAGTGAGACGCACTACAGTTATGTTGTCCTCCTCTCATTCTGAATGTTGAGATTGTCCCTTTTTGCTAGGTATTGACTGACGCCCGCCTGGATTTTTCTCAGCGACCCATAACAAACCGCGCTTAGTTTTTTAAACGTTGTACTGTTAGATATAGGCGCGTCAGCGAAATACTGAGCGGGTATAGTAGCGAGGGGAGAGAAGGAGAGGAGGAGCCGAGGCTCCTCCATTTATTAGTTCTAATAGTATTTTTTCATGCAGAATGTTCCAAGGAGTTGATACGAGTAAAGAAAAAAATGCAGTTCTATTTAAATAAAAAGTGCATCGTTGCATTCACGAAGAGAATACAGTCATAGAAAAATAAACATTATCATACCACTGAACTTTTACATGAACAGCTTTTTCCTAACTCTTTCCAAATTCAAGATATAACCCGTTCCAATTGTATGACGTATCCTGTATACTTTTATTAATTAAAAAACATTTATTTAAAGAAGTTAATAATTTTTTCTAAAAATAATTCTCAGATTGCACGTTCCTTCGGTTCTTCAGAGTAGGCATATATTTTTCAGCAGCGAGGCATGCTACGGTGCGGTATATAAAATCCACGCGTTCAGTCAGTTAGAATTTACCGGAGCGGGACAATTCTATCATTTAGGTTCGAAGAAGGATAGCATGATCACCGTACATCTCACTCTAAACACGCGCCAATGTTTCGCTTTTGTTCTTCAGCTGTATTGTCGCGATGCCTCTGGCGAGATGAGCGTTTGAATGTGTCTGTAAAAATACTTTAGGCGCCGTTGCCTTTCTAGATCATGTTGCGCGCGCGCTAGCTGAGAATTAAACCCTTCAAGTTCGTAACAGACCACGCAAGTGGCTCCATCAGGCCCAACGAAAAAGCTGCTGTAATACCGACGTCCCGAATCGGAGAGATCACGTGCCGTATCTATCCCCTTAAGAACCGATCATCTCAACGCGGAAGAACGTCAACATGTACTCAACATCGTCAATGAATTTTCGGACATATTTTACTTACCCGGAGATGAATTGGGAAAAGTATCGAATTTCTGCCATTCAATTCATACAACAGACGACGTACCAATTAACACAAGACAGTACCGATATCCACCAGTACACCAAGAGGAAATACAGCGTCAGGTGAAAGCTTTGTTATTACAGGGAGTTATACAGCCTTCCAGTTCACCATATAATTCTCCGTTATGGATTGTACTAAAGAAACCAGACGCTGAGGGCAATAAGCGTTGGCGTTGGTGATCGATTTCCGAGCATTGAATGAAAAGACATTGAGTGATACACTTCCGTTACCAAATACCACAGAAATTCTAGATAAACTAGGAGGAGCAAAATATTTCACAATTTTTGATCTAGCGAATGGATTTCACCAAGTCCCAATGGACTTCAAGGATTGTCCGAAAACTGCATTCACAACCCCGCATGGGCACTATGAATTTTTACGCATGCTTTTTGAATTAAAAACTGCACTACCAACATTTCAACACGTAATGAATCGAGTTACATCTGGACTAGAGAACGTTCGTGTATTCATGGACGACATGATTGTTTTCTCTTCATCACTACGAGAACACGAAATAAAGGTAAAGAAATTACTCAATCGACTCAGAGAATACGAACTTACCCTGCAGATCGATAAATGTGAATTCTTACGCAAGGAAGTTACCTACTTAGGACACATTTTAACAACAAATGGTGTTAAGCCAGATCCTTGTAAACTTTGATCTGTAAAGAAATTTCCTGTTCCAAAAACACAGAGAAATATCCAGCAGTTCCTGTGACTGACAGGATATTATCGCCGTTTCATTAAAGACTATTCCATTAAAGCAAAACCGTTAGTTAAATTATTGGGAAACGGAATTCGTTTCAACTGGACTGAAGAATAACAAAAGAGTTTTGAAAACTTACGCGACGAACTTTGTACACAACCAATTCTACAATATCCAGATTTTAATTGACCATTTATTGTGACTACTGATGCCTCAGATTACGCAATCGGAGCGGTACTTAGTCAAGGAGAAATAGGAACCGACCTCCCAATTGCCTACGCATCTCGCACGTTAAATAAAGCTGAAAGAAACTATTCTGTTACCGAAAAGGAATGTCTTGCAATGGTTTATGCAGTGCAATACTTTTGACCGTACCTTTATGGGACAAAATTCACCCTTGTCACAAATCACCAACTGTTAGTCTGGTTATACTCTGTCAAGGGTCCGACGCGACGTCACGACTTATGAAGTGATGGTTCAGACTACTAGAGTACGAATATCAGGTTACCCACAAAACAGGAAAAACGAATAAGAACGCAGACGCGTTATCGCGCAAACCTGTACCATCTTGCTTACCACTTATACCCAAAGAACCTCGAGACCCTGATCATAAGCATTTAGGACCAAAACCAAGAATCGACACAGATTCAATAGGATACCGCGTGCGGCAACTACAAAGAGACAGGGAAAGACGACTGAAATATCAAGAGGTGAGCACTAGTTCCGATAAACAGCCAGCACGTGGGAAGGTACAACATTCTCCAATGACAAATAAACCCAGAGTTTTTCCTAACTTTTCGCACGAGATAAGCATGCCAGATGAACATACAGAAACAATAAGCTTCCACCCGCAAGCAAATTCCACTAAAATCACATCGGCAGAAGAAAACATGAATTTGATGTCATTCGAGGAATCGTCGGAAAATACCATTGTGGAAAATACGATAATTGAAACCCCGCAGCAAGACTTACTTAACCATACACCAATATCACCCGCGACAAACGAAGAAATTTTACAACCACAACCTGTTAACAAGACAATAGGAACGACAATCCAATAACCACAGGGAATCTCGAACCGTACTATTGACCCTTATCCGTTCACGCTTCTTGAAGCAGACATTCTTTCCACAGAGGAACATGACCTGCGAAGAGAATCGCAACCTTTACAGACGTCTGAAATCATCATTACCCCAAACACCCTGACCACCGAGGAAGGTCATTACATACATTTTGTACCTGCAGACTGTAATCTGGTAACCCCTATTGGAAAACTATTACTGGAAACAAAGCGATAGATTTACAACAGCTTCGGTCAAAGAAACCGCAAAAGGGAGACATAATAGAATCAGCAAATGGCTCACACAAAGTTTACAGTATAGTAATAACAGATCATTTTTACGACACCAGTAAAAACGAGGATATACTAAACGGACTACAAAACCTGAAACAACATTTAGACCTGTTCGCGTTTTGGCGTGGTCTGCGAGGACTGAGATAAACACGCCTGCGTAACGATCACAAAGGTTTATTGTACAAAGGAATATACACTAGTCAAGCGTGGTCTGAGTCTGCACACTATTTACACTTATGACTACTTAAACTAATCTTAATTATAAGGAACACACGCGTGGACAAAATACAATATATAAGTAAAGCGCGGGCTGAAACAATCAGCGTCGCGTGGGCTGAAAACTGCGTATCTCGCACGAAAGCGTGAGCGGATAAAGCACGTGTACACGCGTCAAGCGATCGAACAAGAAGAACAAGAATCGATCATGGCGTCGATCGTACCGGTTCCGCGTGGAGAGGGGACCGCGTGGACAAAGTGGGCCCGAGAGGTGCTGCCGCTATCGGTAACGGCGCACCAACGAAATATTTTCGTTGCCAACTTCATCTTTTCGCGTAATCATGGGGAATTTCGCCAACAAGACCAAAATCCGATAAGATCATTTAGAATTTCAGCAGTCGGAGATTTTCATAAATTACCAATCAACGAACTAACTAAAACAATAAATGACGTTTTTGTGAGTACAGGATTTGTGAGAAGAGGATCGATCACAGATAATTCGCGAAGCTCACGACAGTTTGGTAGGAGGACACAAAGGAGTCACGAAAACCCATAAACGCATCAGAGCGAAATACCAATGGCCAGAAATGCACAACGAAATACAGAATCATATCAGAAAATGTCCGAGCTGTCAAGAAGAGAAATTGCTAATTACTGATACGCCGTTAGAACCATTTCATGAAGTTGCTTTAGACACCGCAGGACCTTTGTTTTTAATACCTAGTGGAAATAAATACATTCTCACAATACAGGATTGTTTTACAAAATATTGCATAGCAGTAACAATACTAAACATCAGAGCAGCCACAATTGCAGACTCTTTTGCGAGACACCTCATTGCCATATATGGAATATTAACAGACAAAGGAGCTAGTTTTATTGGAAGCTTAATGAAAAATCTTTCAGAAATATTCAAAATCAAGCAAATCACAACCTCTGGATACAGACCACAAACCAATAGATCCTTGGAACGAAGCCACATAGTACTGACAGAATATCTTAAACATTACATGGATAATTATGAAGATTGGGACCTATTAGTACCATTTGCCATGTTCTCTTACAATATTTCGGTGCACGAAGCAACAAATTTTATTCCTTACGAATTAGTATTTGGAAAACCAGCTTGCGAACCAAGTTCGTTTCCAACGGGTGAAAGGCTAAAATCGTATGGAGACTACTTAACAGAATTAATAACTCATACTATAAAAATTCGCAGCATAGCAGCCAATGATTACAGAACATCACCTAACAGTATCAGAAACCAATAATACTAACACCATTCACTGAAAAGGGCACATGCTGCAGGGATCTGTAAACGCTTCCATGCGGCCCTAATGCAGCTACGAGCCGCCCACCACTGCGAGATCATCGTGCAAATAGAGCACGAAAGGGCAAGACGACCTCCACCACCGCCAGGGCATGACGACAGAGACGCCCTAGGCTTAGGCTCCAACCATCCAACGACCGCTAGGAACACCACCGAAACCCTCACACGTAGCGATAAGTACTCATACACTATACACAACACCCGACACATTTCATTACACCATCTAACTTCAGTACACTCCGCCGAGAGTTTTCTTTTCCAATTGAAAGCATCACAGTTACCGCGATGTTTCATCTAAGGGGGGAGGTGTCACGTAGGAAGACCGTTTTTATCAAACATGCCTACTTTCAAATAAACTTTTAACATCTGGGAAGGAAAATTCTCAGGTAAACAGACCTATTGCTTTTGAAATAAACAGTAGGCCCAGCGATAACAGAACCAAATATTTTGGGAAAGCAATGGGTCCACCGTAATCGCACAGCAGATGCAACCACTTTAAACATCACCGAACAGACGGGCCCAGCCCGATTATCTAAATAGTAACCAGATTACTTTTTCGCATTATTATATAAACCCGTTCGTACCAACGGTCTTCAGTACCAAAAGTCATCTTGTGTCGAGAATTTCGTGTACGAACGTGAGCTGGTTGCTAGTTAGTGAGATCGGGTTGAAGTCCCCTTCGAGCAAGGTTAACCTTATAGAATCCGCGAAATCGAGTCAGTGTTTCTATTTGGCATTATAATCAACCCCGCATTGCCAATGCGTCAAAACCGAGCATACTGCGGAGATAGGTAATATACACCTTACACACCTAATCCGCAACAAGAACAATTGTAATAGACTGAATTATAAAATATACATTACTGTGTCAACCCCACAATTGCATCTTACTTTCAAAACTCGGTGAAACTAGTGACAGTTCCACAACAATACAACCTAACCGCTCGGGTTGTATTGACTATAAATAATATAAGTTACGCGGCCTCTTGTCCGTTAGCCTCCGCTGGCCACACGCGCTGTTAAGCCGTCGGCCACGTAACAGTCTTATACGGCGCACAGTGGGACAAAACTGCTTTTGGCGATCAAAATTCTGTAACTTCGGTTCTATTGGAAATATTTTAATGAACTTTTGGGAAGTTTTTGCCTACAGTATAATACTTAAGTTGTATTAATATAAATCATATTGAACTATAGAGTGTCAAGATATTCACGTATAAACTGTAACGCGTTCAATATCCTTCACTTGTTAGACATAGTTTATGTTATTTACCAAAAATTTAACTTAAAACTGTTAATAACTATAATGAAAACGGATATAATAATTAAAAAATGACAAGACATGTGTTATTATAATATATTTATTTATATTTATTATGATCTATACCAAATCATTCGTGAAAATAGTTTTGACAATTATGAAAATTTATTATGGCATATTGCAAGGCCGAAATAAAGTTTTAGATGACGAATATACACGTTGAATGCAGTTAACTGGATAATAATCGTATCTGGTACTGCTTTTCCAGCATCGTGCGCTGCGGCCAAGATGGGTGTAATTTATTTCAATCGCCATTATTTTGAGCAGTGGCAGGTTGGGGCAGCCGTTTTTTTTCTGATTCTGATAGAGGAAGGTTCACTCTTTACTACAGTAGTAATCACACCCTGCACAAATGTGCACATTTTTTAAAACTCAAACGCAAAGTTGAGATTTTAGTTAAATGTATTTCGTTTCAATCAGATCCTATTATTTAAAAAGTTGTTAACATTTTAACTTATTTTATGCACTGAATAGAATCTATACTAATCTACTAAACTTTGTAATTCATTTGAATTTTATCTTTCCGAGTAAAAGTTATTAGAATCGTACATTGAAGTTACGGATAATATCATCAGCGTTTCGTTTTGACAAATTTCTACTGACTTTGAGTGCGAACCACGGCAAAACGAAAGCAAATATGAAAAAACGGATTACACCACGTTGAACTACAGTTTATTCTCTATCGATGTATGTAAATAGTTCTTCAATTTTCGAATACACGAAAATCGACTTTTGATCGCCGAAAGCCGTTTTGTCCCACTGTGCGGCGTCTGATTGTGAGTCACGAACGCTTGACTGCCAGAAGCGTACATACAAGATCGAACGTCGAAAATTGATACACAAGTCTGACGACTGATTACAGATATGCAGAACATTAATGTTAGACAACACGTTGTCAATTATTAAGCGAAGAACGAATGAAGATCTGCTGTCGTTCTCACTTCCTCGATTTTCATGTATCCGGAAGGGGAAAACGCTGACTGGTTTTGGCACAGAAACTTAAATTTCTAATCACCGAAAGTTCGGCAAGGCCGTGATTTTGTGATCCAGTTAATGTACCTCTCGGACGACCGATTTTATTATACAGGGTGTCCCAGAACTGGGGTAGGAACGGAAGAGGGATGATTGGAGAGGTCATTCTAAACAACTTTTTCCTTTGCCAAAATGTTGGTTAAGGCATCGGTTTCCAGTTATTAATGAAAAACAGTGGCCAATCAGAGCGCGCCGTTAGCGCGGGCCGAACCACGAGAGTGTTGGGTATGTTCCGCGCGGTCGTGATCAAGTGCCTTGGCACTACGTCGGTATGATGGGATTCGTTGAATAGAAGTTGCATCGGATAATGAATAAAAAAAAAGAAAAGAATAATTGTATCGAATTATTGATTACTCATGAACAACGAATCCTATTACACCGACGTGGTGCCGATGCACTTGATCACGACCGCGCGGAACATACCCAACACTCTCGTGGTCCGGCCCGCGCTATCGGCGCGCTCTGATTGACCAGTGTTTTTCGATAATAACTCGAAAACGAAGCCTTAACCAACATTTTGGCAAAGGAAAAAGTTGTTTAGAATGACCTCACCAATCATCCCTCTTCCGTTCCTACCCCAGTTCTGGGACACCCTGTATAAGTTCAGCTCTTGAGAACGAAGTCCATTATACAAAAGAAGTAAATCATTATTGCTGGTTGTAACCACACTCTCCCTCGGAGAGTGGGCGAGCTATGGAGAGGTTGAAGTAATAGAGAAAACACTCAAGGTTTATCCGGAATAAATCACAGAGCGGTTTATTTATATCATTCGTGACGGTTTGAACATGGATTATCCGGTGCCGCGACCGTTACGCTCGCGAAGCGACTTTGAACGGATTCTTGGAACAGCGCGTTCTGACGCTCGCGTGATACATACAAAAAAACTTTGCCGTATGCTCGCGGTCTATTCGCGCCAATTAACGTACTCGCACGCTCTTAACAACATATTTAACTATGGAGACCTGTAGTCGAGTTCCGGTATGTTTCACGATGATTAACTAACACGGGAGCATCGACTGTCTCTAACATTCTTCACGGCTCGCTTTCGCAGTTTTCACATTCGTGCGGATTCTTATGAGTCCGGTTAAACCGGGAAAACTGCCTCAGGTTCCACGTGGAGCATGTGAGCAATCTCGGAAGCAATACCAGAGCACGATGTTTCGTAGCTGCTGGTTGGCTTGCGAAGAGTGCAGATATCTCGATCGATTTTGACTGAGCTTCGAATGCGTCTGTTCGCATTGGAGCCTCGACGACAAGTGCTCGTCCTGCGGATCGGCAGGCACCTCGCCCCGTACCGCGGCATCGAAGGGGAGTCTCGTGCTTGCGCGTATCCTACCTCGGCGCAGTGGAAAGGCGGGTGCCTTAGGGCCCCATACATTATGTGGCGGATTGACGGGATTGTCGATCGGTTACATGGTAATACTGAATACATTTAAACTCAAAAATAGCTTATCGAATTTGAATTTTTCCTTGGTATAGAACAATGATGCCAGCATATTTTAAGAGTAAATACAATAGAAAGTGTCATATAAACATACATTTAAAAGTATTTTATTAGAAAATTAGAACAAAAGTATGAAATAACAACGGACTGGTTTTCTGACATCTATCAAAAATTAAGGGCATAGACTCCTTGGAAAGAATCGGACAATCGTGAAAACACATAATTGAGAAATAAAATACACACTTTCGCGCAACAGTTAATTCAATTAATTTGCACTAGAAATATTTACAAAATCACTATGCACACGGAACTTAATCACTATAATGTATTTTAGGATTAAATATTGTACTGAGTACTATATTACTAATTAAACTATTACAGTAATGCTTCGAAATAAGCAAGTGGCTCGGGACCGAACAGTTGCTTATTTCGAAGCAGGTAGCTATTCGGCTTGACTTTGTTCTCGAAACGGGACGATAGAGAACGCGAGAAACGAGTGAGAGATCCGAGGTAGCGGCAAATCATAAAGTGATCGGCCGAGCAGCGATGTTATTTTTTGGACAAGGATAGAATAGAGCATGCCCTCTCATTCTCGCACTATGCTTTATTTCGAAGCAAATATACCAGACTGAGAAAGCATTATATATATTCCATCCTTCTTCTATTAACCGATGTCACTGCTCAGTCGGGCGTGAAATTTATTACCCTAAACATCGGCTTCGCGCTTTCATGGATCTTTCACTCGTTTCTCGTACCTCTCACTTTGCGGGCGACTTCAAACAAAGAAGAGGGGATAGCGACTTGCTTATTTCGAAGCAGAGACCACTTGCTTATTTCGAAGCAATACTGTATATACATATACAAGCATATGTGTAAGAAATCACTCAATCTAGCTGTATAAAAGACTATACCTGAACGCGTGTTAAGGGCACAGACTCCTTCGAGGCCTCCTCCGAATCGATGTAAGCGCCATTGGAAAGAATCGGGCAATCGTGAAAACACATAATTGAGAAATTCGACATTTGACGGTGTGACATCTAACGTCATTATGCAGAATAAAAAACGAAAGTGAGGCGGCATAGTTGCCAAGTCACATCATTTGAGAGTTCTATCGCGGTGTTGCCGCATCTGTGACCATCTAGCAAAATGAATTTGCTCGAGCCGAGCGAGATTTTGATTCCTGGCGGACATAGAAAAGGACAGCGCGAGAGAAAGAGAAGGAGTATCATGAATGAAACAACGTAGGGCCGATCGGCGTAAATATAGTCACACGCTACGACAGATTCGATGAGACTCTGTAATACACATAACGTACGCGACTATAAGACTTATAGGAATAAAAACTATATGGCATTAATAATTTCAGGAAAGGAATGAAAAATAAAGACATGTAAATTGATCTATAATATACAATATTTATCG